ATTGGCTATTCGGAAGACGACAAGATTCGAAGATTGCTCGATTTTGGAGGTAACACTTGCCAATTTCGATGAGCCACCTTGGAGGCCTTGGCTCTATTAATCGTTTTTTGCAGCAATGGCAAAACCAGACTTAGCTTGATGTATTGAGCTATATGTAGTGTGATCGCATTTCGTACTCTCCAACTATGCGAACAAGATGCCCGCGGGTGACAAATTTTTCCACAGCTCGTTGCGGCAAAGCCTTCACTATCGGGACTGCTTTTTTCGCAGTCTGTTTGTAATCGACTTTGAACTTGATCGTCGACTTTGTTTATTGGTCTGTTATCACAGACACGGAAATAGATTCATGAGATTGCTTTATGAGAGGCTAGGATTAATTCCGATATAATTTGGTTGAAGACTTGTCCTCAAATTTAGAGGCTACAATGTCTTTATATATCTACGTATTTATCCCCATATTCACCATATCCGCTAGCCATTCTATATCTAGCGTGCATAGCCTGATTTATCACATGGTTCTGGGATGGAGATGTAGCTTCCGAATAGCAGTATTCTTTTCGCTACTACAATACGTAGCAGCTTCAGATATAGTTTACCGTGCGATACTTCCACCTTAGCTACATGCCTCCTTGATATACTGCCGGCTCGGTATGTGTGTTTGTGTTTATTGTGCTACTTGAGTCTATGACTATCTAGCACATTGGGCTCCTCTCTGACCCAGGCCACACCTTGTACAGTGCTCCTATCCTCTTTTGTTACTTGAAAGATCATTGATATATTCCCCTTGATGAATAGCCATTCAGCTCAGTGTTTACCCGTGGAATTCAGCCACCTTTTCCACGGAACCTTCTACCCAAAAAAAATAAAAATGGTAGCAATGGAAACTGCGTGCGCAGGAAAAAGTCTCAAAAAACCTGCAGCTCCAGCCAGGCGAGGCCTAGACACCGGGACCACATGAGGTGCGCATATTCATCTATGTCTCCCTTCTTTGTAACAGTCGAGGCCGACTTGATCCAATCCGCCATCTCCGTATCAGGTGCTGGGTACGCTCCGGAAACTCATCGGATGGCTTTTCCTCCGTGATCAAGGTTTGGTGATAAGTAGAGCTCCGACCCTACCATCTGATCTGATCGTGGTTAGGTTCACGATAATGGTGATAGGGGAATGTGTTGAGAGATGAAGACGATACAGACGGCGAAAGCGATTGGGAATCCTCTTCGAAGTGAGGACTTTGTTACTCAATCTCGGCTCTGCAGACTCTACAGTGAGAGCTGGAGGTTCGTAGGGGACACCGCTGACAGGTGTTGAGAATAGTCCCCCAGCCGGCTCGGTAATCAGTGAGATAACCGAAGCTAAGCCTTAACAATAACCTTAATTACGAAACCATGAATACCTAAGACAGAAGCCTGCAATCTAACACAAATAGGTTAGGAATTGCCAACTACAACCTAATCCAAACAGTTTGTTATATTTAGATAGTTATATAAAGGTCAGGCTTCGAGTCTACTGAGCAGCAGGGATATACAAAGGTCCGTGCACGACGAATATCACGTGGTTATCTTAGCTAATACTTGCTAATCACAAGACTATTTCGTACCACTTGCCTACCCCAAGGCTCTCCTGTCTCTCCTATTCTCTTACTCCTGGCAAGCGAAGGAGTGCTTTGACTGTCGCGCGGCCGATTTGGGTACGCAGATGATATCTCTCATTTCTCTTCCGCGACCTCTCTAATATCGTTTGCCGGCCTCCTCCAGACTCAGCTTAACAAAACCCTCTCCTGGGGACGGGAAAATGGGTTCACTTTTGATACTTCGAAGACGGAGCTCCAGTCCTTTCACCGGAAACGTGGCAATGTTGTGGAGCCAACAATCTGCATGGGTGAAACTGAGATACTGCCCAACAACTACACCCGCTGGCTCGGAGTATACTTCGATCATGGTCTACGCTTCCGATATCATGTTAGTGAGACCTGTAGAAAGTCCCTAGCTATCACAAGCCATCTTAGACGACTCTCGTGCACCACCCGCGGTATCAGCCCTCCCCTTCTTAGACAAGCTATTCAAGGAACAGCTTTCGCTATCCTCTTCTTTGGAGCCGAGACATGGTATTCCACAAGTACCCCACAGGATATAATAAGGCGTGTTCAGTGCAGAATTAATGATGCTGCTAGAGCCGTCCTTCCTGTCTACCGAACGGATCCGACTCCTGCCCTTCTTCGAGAGACCGGATGGGGGACGGCTAGCTCATGGCTAGAACGGATACACGACCGCCTCACAGTGCGAGTCGCGTCAGCAGGCCCACGTCACCCTTTACGGCGGCGCTGGACTTCCTCCCGAATCTTGTGGATTCGACAAAGAACATCTCCCGAACTATCAACTGAAACAGTACCACCCCCATGGAATACCAGTCGAGAGTTACTTCTACAAAATATCGGGGCTATAGGCAGAAAAAATGGCCGAAAAGAATTCATGAGATGGCAAGCATCTCAACCCCCTTTAGATCTATTCGTCTTCTCTGACGGTGCCCTTTCAGAGGGTAGAGCCGGGTCCAGATATGTTATCTATCGGGGCCTCACACAGATAGTTGGGCAGGGGACCCTTCCTCTCGGAGAATCTACCGAAGTGTACGATGCAGAAATAGCCGGGGCCACTGAAGGCCTAAGTGCCGCCCTCCATAATCCGATGGCTCGATACGCCACAAATATTACGGTTCGTCTAGATAATCAGGAAGCCGCCCTTCATCTCCTTGCAGATAATCCTTCCCCTAGCAGCTCCTCTCGTATCGCTTACTTTCGATACCTTGCTACTAAATGGATAGAGAGAGATCGTAGCCACTTTCCTGAACCGGGTGTAGTCAGGGTGCGATGGTGTCCAGGACATGTCGGCATACCGGGCAATGAAGCTGCTGACGCACTTGCTAAACAAGCATGCGCAACCCCTTCACTCCCCCTATCTCCAACAATCTCACTAGCAAAGAGAGACATAATCTCTCGATACAAAGCCTCTGTATTCCTGTACTGGTCTCAAAACGCTCCTGAACGATACCAAAAACTGGGAATTAACGCCAATATTGGGAGCTCTCCCGACCTCAAGAGCCTTAACTGCTACGCTCTTGGTCGCCTTCTTGCAGCTCGCTCAGGCCATGGAGAATTTACTGACTACCACCGCCGCTTTCAGCACTCGGACGCTCTTCTAATCTGCGCTTGGCCTGTATTTGCTAGAGCTAAATTTAGAAGACTTCTGGTCTAGGTGATGGATAACTTTCCTTTTCATATATATAACTATCTTCTCTACTGTATTAGAATACAAAAGTCTCAGCTCGAGAGTACTTTTGACTTCTTTCGATAGTTCGGGGTGCATGGCAGGTAGGCCTTGGCCCATTTATAACATATCGGGCTCATTTAAAGGTATCGGCACGTCGGGTAGTTTATGTAGACTGAGCTGGCCAACACGAGACCTTAAGGTTGTGTTGTGAGCTAGCACGACGTTAAATAATTATAAAATAAAAAAATTTCGTACCACTTTCGTACCACAGTAGCCCAGGTGCTTGTTGTAGGCCTGGCTGGGACAGCCGGTGGGTTTTGGATCCTGACGTAGGGAACTCTTGTGGGAAGGTTTGCCGGGCAAGAAGGAAGGAGTGTCAGATTGGCCGCTGTCTGGGCAGCGCCTTGTTCTTCGGCCTCGAGAATCGATTATAACTCGGGTGGACACTCTACTTTGGTAACATCTTTGACTTCTATGGGAGCTGCTTTCGATGCAGCTGTCTTGGATGATTGTGGCTGGGTCGGAGATAAATTTAACGGTCTTCCCAGCCCGTGGGAGATGAAGGCTTGTTGATGAATTTCCTTAACAATTTCGACTGACCCGATCATGTTAGTATCGAGCGCAGAGACAGTAGGAAGGGCCTTTTCTTTCCATTTGCTTGAGGCCTTGCCCATCTCCACGCATCTTGGAGACTGGGCATAGCCCGTAATTTGACCCAAGCCACCCCTGGGTCGGCGAACCACTACCATTGATAAGTACATTTAGTTGTACTAAAGTTTGAGCTGCATGTCGTAAACGCGGAAGCAGTCAAGTCGAAGCATCATTTTGGTCACGAGGTGTAACCCAGATTTGGGGGGGTTAACAGGTAGAAAGCGGACTGGAGTTTCAAATAAAGATCGTCGCATGTAAACCGAGGACTGCCTTTCTACATAGTGTTTGAGTTGATTGCACAATCACTCGACGAAAAAGCCGGGCGAGAATCATAGAAAACTACCACGCGGCTTTTTCCATTCAAATCGATTGTACAGAAGGCAATCCTTACAGTCGTGAATCTTGGCTCGGGACATACGCTGGAAGTGGGTGACATGGCTGAATCAAGGAATATCAATTGGAGTCTCATCAGAGTTGGCGTAATCATTAAGTCTCGAGGCTAGCACGGGGTACATGTATTCAAGGGAGAGAAATCTTTGTGTTTAGATGGCATTAACCGATAGATTATGTTCCAACAGTCGCTGACAGCAAGAGGAGAAGGTCGATTACCCAGTATATTGGATTATAAGATCAGACACAAGAGATATCTACGGTAGCGCACCGGAAAAAATAGTAAGGTGTAGTGATAAGTGAACAGTTTTAAAAATACAACATGATCTGTGAGAAATCTCTAGAGAACAGCCATGCAAATATGCCTCAAATCCAAGAGTCACAATTACAGCTTCTCTCTAAAATACACAATCTTTCCGAATCCCACGCTATCTTTAATACTTCAAATCTACACGATTAAAAAATACTTCTCCTTTTGTACTAGATTTATAGCCGTCCCATTGCTATTTCTAACGCCTATGTGGTAGTTAACTTGATCCGATGCGGCCCCACTCGTGCTTAAGTTCCAGTAGGGGTGCGATTATTGTCGCCTTGCCTAGCACGTTGATGAACAAAAAAGCTATTTCTGTCGCCATAAGAAATTTGAATCTACGAGCGAAATTCTACGCCACTCATCCAAATTAAAGAGGGCCGCGTTCACCGATTTGTGGTTGGGCCTCTATAGCATTCTCTTGGAATAGTTATAGTGCGAACTCCTTGTCCGTCCTTACTAGCCAACAGGGGACCTAAATATCCCCTTGCGGGTGACGAGGGAAATTTTAGGTTTACTTTGTCCAATTTACTCAGTATCTCTTTGATCTTTGAATGTGTATTAGCGTCCTTGTTCTTGCTAGAATTCTGATATTCCATCGAAGTTGAAGCTGTCGTGACTCTTTCTTTCATTAATATGGCCCTGATGGAGTCAATCTGAGGGAAGACCCTGACGATCAAGTCGATCACGTAATCATAATGGTCCATGCCTTGTAATGATCTATTAAGCGGATACCATAAATTAGTGTTTTCCTGTCTTTGGAACAAAATTAGATCGCCCTGATGCCAAGCAAGCCCAGACTGTTGACCTTCAATCTTAGTGTTGTATATAAATTTTCCGTCTAATACCACCATGGACATCGGGAACAGATTGTCAACAACTATTCTCCGCTGGCAATTGTGATTATGCGTGATTATTTCATGATTTTCAGTAACTAGCGAAAAGTTTTCCTGCACACCTAGACTGTAAACTATACTTTTAGTGCATCCAGAATTACGGGAGTCAAGACTATTGTATAGTAATTCATTTGTCGTTGATGTAATAAATTGTTTATTGATAGTTGCAAGACATCTTCTCTCAGCGGAAACATCTTGGTTAAAACTCAATTTTGAATCGTTAGAGATGTATTCTGCACGATTAGCGATATAGTTAACTAAGTAAGCTAAGTCTTGAGAGGGAGTGCAATATATCGTCATGTACGTGCCAGGTCCGTCGGTCTCGCTGGTCGAAGAGATTATATTATCACCATCCATGACCTTTCGAAACTGGCGTATTCCGTTTGGGTTGTACATTCGAAAAAACTCGCTATTTTTCTCGACTTTCATGATGGCTAGTCGGTCATTGTTTTTTGCCTCATGGCCCGTCAGCAAAAGGATGGCTAGAAGGCAGTACATTGTTGCGATCTGGATGCAGAAGCTGCGACGTCGGCTTGTGAAGTATTATTTTATCTTCTACGGACTAGTAGCTCAGCGAAAGATTACAAGCTTCAATGTGATTTGTGATTTGTGATTTGCGATGCCGATTTCTGCCACCTCGTCTAAGATTGAACGAGCCTGAGGAGTCCTATTGCGATGAAGGGAAGGATTGGATTATCTTTACAGTAAGTAACTCGATTATATGACCCTGGTTGGCCACCAGAAATGTTATTCCTATCGTTTACTCATTTTGGTTGCCGGAGCTACACGAGTCGTGATGCTTGGCATATTCTTTTAATTATCTATATTCGCGAATGATTTATAATGAACGCTCAAGCTTTGTCATCTACATGCCACGAGAAGTCACGACTCGTGTCATAAAGAAAGCTGCTACCCGGAAATAATATTCCCACAGGTCATCAATTAGAAACACGCCGAAGGAGGCTGACATCGCGTCGACAGGCTGCCGTCCGGTTGGTTTAACGCAGACTGAGTGGGAGTAAGCCGCATCCGGAACGAGCCACTTAAAACTGCTGGCTTCAGGACGCCTTTTGAAGAGTCAGGGTGCATGGAATGGCAATACTTACTAAAATTTGAAATAATGTGTGCGCCAATCTTCTCATCATTTGTCGTTCCTGGGTCCATGTGCGCAAGCAAAAGTATCCCATGATAGTGATTGGAATCGAGTCCGTAGTAGCCTTTACGAACCTGGAATTGAAATATTCTAGTCGTGCCAAGTTCAGTAAGATTTTTCACCGCTGAAATGAACTAGGCGACGCGGCAATGATCAGAGACCGAGAAAGATTGTTTCTGATCATGGCCTCGCCAAGTATTACGGCTAGTGTGCGGGGAGAGAGCCATCTTCGAGACAAGGAACGGGCCAATGGTGCACGAGAGTTTATCAGACGACCGAGGACAAGAATAACTTGGGGACTAATAATGCGGTTTGCAAGACTACAGAACTGTGACCACATCTTACACCTTATTAAGTACTGCTACAGAGCATAATTTGGTTCAAGCCTCTTTCATTAACAATTTTATTAAGGACAAAAAGGGGGAAGGAAGCCCTTCTAGAATTTTTGAAACCCTCCAGGTGTATGTCAGCATGGAAAGGAGATGATATAGGCATACAATTATTGGACATAAAGACATATGGAGAAGTGATTTTGGGCGTTAACTGATGTCATTCTGCAATGTAAAAATAAATGGATATTTAACTGTCATAGCTAGATAGCAGTATACAATTTGATTCAAAAAAAAGCCTAGTGTGGCTCGACTAAATTTCGGCGCCTGAAATATTAAGGCCTCCACATTTGGTTTTCGGTACAATGTGAATGTTGTTGTTGTATTTATAAAGTCCTGAGCTTAAGAAATAGCTTTACATCCTACTATCGGTACAGGACCGGTAGAGCTTTTAGGGATCACTGTATGTAAGCCCAGCTCATTCTAACTGCATGAACTTGCACATAAATGATGGTGCTAACAGCATAACTAATTGTTTAATGACATAACGACTTGACGATCTTTCATGTGTTATCATATAAATGATGACTAATTATGTTGATGAGAAAGGAGTTACCTGTTTAGGAATGGCGTTAGGAGAGGAGGATAACTGCTCTATTTAGGAGTTTTCTTTAGTTAAAGAGAGAAGAATGAAGATACATGTTAACTACCAATTGTTATTATTGCCATAGAAAGCGTGTGATATAAATACCACCCGAGTATTCCGACACTAAATTCAAAAACTTGAATCAAAAACTAAAATCAAATTAAGAAGAAATCACAATTAGGTCCGGATCCCGCGCTTCTCGCCCGTTCTCTTTCCTGTCACATCTTTTAAGTGAAAATTTCTAACCTTGGCTGAGAGCAAAAGATGAGCTCGCAGGCACTCTTTATCTAGTCAGTGTCCTACTCTTTATGTGTTGAAGTCTCGACGACTTCACTGAGGCTCGCCGTAGCCTTAAACCTCCTCTTCGGATTCCAGAATTCCAGACCCCAATCCGTCTGCCATGCAGACATCGTTCTTAGAGCCTTTAAATCGCCTCATTGGCTATCTCGGCTGCAGCTTTGAGACGAGCATAATCTGCCAGCCTTAGTTGCTCGACCTTGCTCACTGTCGCGAGCTGCTCTTTTTTTCATCGGGCCGAACTTGTTAGGTTTAGCTTCGCAAAACCGCGAATCCGATCGGTGAAGTCCCCCCACAATTTCAGCACCGTGTAGGGGCTTTGCACTCTGCTTCCGAGTGCATTTTTGATCCGAAATTCCAGCAAGCCGGAGCGCGGGAGCAACCGCGAGAGGCGTGGAAGCCAAGACATCGTTTGCACTGCTCTATTTTTCGGCGAGATTGGAAGAGCTTTGCAGCTCCGGAGTCATCGACGAGGTGGAATCCAGGTCGAGGCGTGGATTCGCGGGGGAAGAGCGCTTGCCAGTTCTGGTATGGCGCCCCAGGCTTGCAGTACCCGTGCGGACGAACAAGGAAAGGAAACAATTTTGTCACTCGCGTGACCTCGCCGGCGACCATCTCTTCCGCAATGGCGCTCTTGAATTATCGCATTCTACTTACGACATTTTACTACCACATTTATCTCTCAATCACTCATGCCGCCCCAGTCCTCCGCAGAGGCTAGCCCTTGGCCCCCCCTCCCATCCGTAAATTTGACGCGTCCTGACATCGAAATGGTCCTTGACGGGCCACAACCACCCACACAACAATTTGTAGAGCCAATCTACGAGGCGAGTCATCCAAACTCACCCAACATCCCAACTACGTCGCCTCAAATTTTCGCGACCGAATTCCTCGCCGAACAGGGCAGGATATTCCAGACACGCTCTGCACAAGCCGAGCGCTTTATCATCGGGTTCTGCAAGCTGCTGGAACCAGTCACTGACGAGAGACTTCGAAAACTCTTTGATCAGGACTTACAGGCCCTTCAGGGCAAGATCATGGAAATTCTGTAGGGCAACCCATCTCTAGCAGACGCCTACGCTCCTGCAAAGGCTGCAAGTGGCCATGCAAACCCGTCCCATCCGGCTCAAGTTACAGAGCCTCCTAAATAAAACCCTGCAAGCGTCACACGTCCAGTGCTTATCCTTGCCAGAGAAAAGAACAGACCGGCACCATCAAAGCCGTCTGCCACAACAACAACTCCCCAGCCTAGCCAGGGCTCGAACGTAACCAACAACAAAAACACAGAGAAATCTTGGACCGAGGTGTTGGGAAAAAGAAACAAGCCAGCAAACCAAGCGGCTCCAACGGCCACACCTAAGACAGTACTGATGAGGCCCGTCCCCACGCTGAAGTCTAAAGCTCCAGCAACGAACCCCCAACGACCTGACGAGCGTATATTCTTGCGCCTCAGACCTGACCACCCGTGGAGACGTTTGTCACCCTACTTCGTGAAATTAAGCCTAGCTAGCAAGCTGCGTCTAGCCAACTCCACAATTAAACAGGTCACTATCGTGAACTCAGGGTTCGCAACACAAGCCGAAGGGGAAGGAGCTAGAGGTGCACTTCTCTCAGGAGGAGCTATATTAGATAGCTTAGAAATGAAATTGGAAGCCGCCTCCAACTGCATCTCAGTTTTGGCACGGAATATCCCAGACAAGCTTTACACTCTGGAAGGGCCCACCATAGTGACACCAGAAATGGTAATAGAAGAAGCAGCTCTCAAAACAGGAGTTAGACCAACCTCGGCTCGTGCTTTCGCAACTAGCATGGCCAGGCCGTCAACAGACTGGGTGTTGCACTTCGCAACAGGAAAACCGAAGCCTGGAGAAAGACTGTTCGAAGAAAGCGGACGCCTCCACGAACTTCAGCGCAAGCCCAAAATTGCGCAATGCAACCGATGCTGGGGACACCACCCAACTAAGATCTGTTCACGAGCAGAGCGCTGCTCCCGCTGCGGCTCTATTGAGCACAAGGCTACTGAGTGCAAACAGGCCGTGCCAAGGTGCATCAATTGCCATGGGCCACATGCCGCAAACGAGCCTAGCTGTATGGCCAGGCCGACGCGGGCCGGCGGAAAGACTGTGCAACGCACAAGAGACCAGCTGTCGGTGATCCGCGAGCAGGGTCAAAAAGAAATGAATGCTTCGATCCGAGAACTAGAAGCAAAGCAGAAAGCCACCGAGGCTACTGCTGAAAACGAAAATATAAACGTTGCTTAATGCCCGTAAGGGACCACAAACCAACCGAGCTCCACACAACAGCAACTACAATCTCGTTTCTCTGTGCTAATTTGGGCAGAGGAGACCCCGCTACGGACATTATCCTGCAATCCGCTTGGGATTCAGGAACCGATGTCCTACTTATCCATGAACCCTGGACTCAACACAAGGACGGCTTTTGGCTCACTAAGTCGCATCCCGGATTCGATAGGCATTTGCCTCCCCGCGTCGCTGCCAACTCTTCAAGGCCAAGCTCCCTCATCTACATGCGAAAAGGGATCAATTGCCAACAGCAAGCAATCTGCGAGACATTATCTGATCTTACCGCAGTAACGGTAGAAGGAGTCATATTTGTCTCCGTATACCGCGCTCCTAGAGCAGACCTTATGCCGCTACTATCATGGGCTCCATCTCGGCCTACAGTAATTGGCGGAAATTTCAATGCCGTTCACACCTGTTGAAATTAGAGGGTTCACGACTGCACCTATTGCTGGCTATTAGTAATAGTGACTAAGCCTTATTTAAGGCGTGTGTAGTGAGGTTGAAGCGAGGCTAAGATTCTTTCACACACACATGGGGTTAAGGAGTTAATGGACATAATATAATATTATCATATCTTTGTACATAGAATAGACATATATCTTCTATATTTGCCAGTCTCATACTCTTCTCTTCGCCTACTGATACTCTTCTCTATCATCATCGCATCACAGTCGCTCTCCACCTTTACAATAACACCGACTGGAAGCCAATGGCTACTAGGCTACACGGCGACGGCCAGGTGCTCACCGAGTGGATGTTCGAGCACGGTA